AATTTTAGATTAAATTTTTTAAATAAAAAATATATATTTCTTTAATTTAATTTTTGGAAACTTATTTTAGTATTTTTTTTTCTCAATTAATTTTTTTATTAATTTAATTTTCTTTTAATATGTTTTTACATATTACATTTAATTTTTGTTCTTTTAATTTTTTCTCTTTTAGGTGATTTGGCTTTAAATTTTTAGATTTTATTGTTTTAAGTAAAATTATATATAAAAAGATATGTCTTTAATTTCATAAAAATTTTATTAACTTCTTTTATGCAGTTTTTATTATTTTAATTTTCCTTTTTTTATTAAAATCTATAATTTTTAGATTTTATTGCTTCCAAAATAAAAAAAAATATTTTTTTTACTTGAATCATTTATTTATTTTTTTTTTTTTTTTTTTTTTTTAAGATTTTATTGTTTTAAAAAGAAAAATATTTGTAAAATATGAGTCTCATTTAGTTTACAGAAACGTATTTTAGTTATTTGTTCCTTGTTAAATTTATTTATTTGATGCATTTTTTAGTTTACTTATCTTTTCTTTTTAATGTAATTTGGTTTTATTTTTAGTTTTTATTGCTTTTGAAAGAAAAATTTTTATACTTTTTTAATTAGTTAAATTTTAAGAAAACTTACCGCTAAAATACAACCAAATAACGCTAAGACCTCCTCGGTAACAGATCTTTCAATTAGTCGTACGAAAAAGAGCATAGAGCTTCTAAGACAAGAGTTTTGTCTTTTTGGGTGCAGATATTTTCGAATCGGTCCCGCTCACGTAAATTTTAATGTTTCTCTCAAATATTAATGCAAAAATCTAAAATTTTATAAATTGTATAATTCCAATGGGAAAATAATACCGTTTTTTTTTTTTTTTTTTTTTGTATGGAGAGTGATGCACTCAAATGTGCATATAAAAAGCATGGTTTCGTCCACGGGCCACACTTTTCCCCCTAACTTTACATTCATTTTATGCGCATAAATTATTTTAAAAAAATCATTTTAAAATGTAAGCTTTAAAAAAAAAAGAAATCAAAATTAATTTTGTCGTTCAATTTATATGTATGTATGTAAGTGCTTAAAAGCGTTCTAAAAGTTTATTCACATTTTCAATCGAACAAATTCATATTTGTAAATATTTAAATATAATGAATTTATTGTTCGGTTAGTTAAATGTCGCACATTAAAGAAGAAATCAGAGCGTAAAAGTAAATTAAAAAAAAAATAAAATTAAATAAATACCATATCTATTATAGATAATCTATATGATAATGTTGAAAACCCCTAAATCATGACTCAGATATTAGCATGAATCTATATTTTACATATTTATGAATCTTTAAAAAGCAAAACCAAAACAAATAAAAACAAAACAGGATATGTAAAATTGAATTTAAGATACATATTGTGTTGTCCTACACATGCGAACTTATATGTATATTTATGGAATGAACGTTCGTACATACCTATTTATGTATGTATGTAATTTATTAGCATTAGCAGCATTTGCTTTACACGCATATTTTGCCTTCAGCTACTACATACAAAATAATAATTGTTTAACTTTTGTATGCATTAATTGCTTACATACATATGTATATATATTTTAAAGGTTCGAATTCGAACTTCTGCACTAAGGTTATTAATTTGTTTTTAATCTACTTATAATAATGTATACATATGCACAGATAAAATATTTTCTTTTAATTAAATCAAGGTTTATGCATTATAGTCATTTTCAAGTTAAATTCTTTTAGAATAATTCAATTGATTTTATTTTATTTTCAAAATCTATTTAATAGTTTTAGTAAAAGAATGAAAAAGACATAAATGTATGTATGTAATATTTTGCAAATCGCGCGCGCTCTCTCTATTTCTAATATTTCGTTTGTAGTAGCCTTAAGTAAGTTAATCTCTTATAATTGCTCTCGCTATTTAATTATAATATTGAATAAATCTATAAAAACAATCAATATACAAATATGATAAATGTAAAGATTGTATTTTTATTTATTCGGAGGTAATCTAAAATCAGATAAAGGACGGGCGAATTGTTTGATGTGAGCGCCATTTTTATGTTATAGTCACGCTGCTGTTGTTGCGCCATGGTCGTCCGGCGGTTGGAGATGCATGCGAAAACGTGTTGGGTGTTATGTGCACCTTGCCCGCCTCTTGGGCAGGTGACTACGCTCGAATCGTGACAGACGTGAACGAATCGGCAATTGTATGTACACAAATTACGTTAGTCGTTTCGTTGTGGTCGGAAGGTCGTTCAAACGAATGAGTACGATTAGTTACTACACCAGCCCGCCATGCAGAAAATGTATTCTACCATTCTTGATACCAGCCATTATACCGAATTACGAGACAAACAGTAATCCGAAATATGCATCTTTACATAACGAGTTGCTCGTTCACGATTGTCACGATTCGTGCCTTTGCCACCGACCGTAAGGGAGTTATGCTAGGGTGCATCTGGTTTCCCTCAGCAGTTCGGCGTCGCCATTACGTGCGCTAAGATAAGTCCTGACATCTTTTTGTAGGTTTTCGAGTTCCGTTGTATATCACTCTTTGTCGAAGGGATGCTCCACGTTGTCTGTTCTTCAGTCATACAAATGCCGTCCCACGTGTCGATGGGAGCGTATCATTTCGAAGTTGGGGTAGTTTTTTACGGTGGTCTCCCGCGAGGAGTGTTGTGCTCTTTTACCGCCAACATTGTCTTTCTTCGTGAAGATGATGCTCGGATGACATGAGCCTTTAGCTGCATGTAGAGTTGCGTTCTGGCAGGTTCGTAAATTTCTTCACTGCGTTTCGCTCGTTCTTGCTGCGTAGCTTGCCATCGACGACTGGCTGATCTGGCTTTATACTTTGTGAGCATGGACTTGACGATTTTGTTCCTGTCTCATAATTTATTACAGGTGGTGAAGGTGCCTTTTAAGCCTAATCTCCTTGACCTAAGTGGTGAAGAGTGTGACGGTGGATTTTTGTGGCTGAGATTTCGAAAATCGGAGGAATGGTCAGTAATTTTATCGCAGAGTCTCTGGATGTTTTGGTCGGTTGCCACGATCATAAAATCATCAGCATATCTCACCAAGTTGACTCCGGCTGGCGGCGGTTGGAGTTATAATCAAGTTATACGTAGATCTCTCTTTTTATATGAGCACCTAAACTATTTAAGAAAATTCAAATTATTTTCTCTCTGAATTATTCTAAAGCGGCATCGCAATGTTACCGCTGATTTATCAGCTTACTTCTTACCTTAGATGTTCCTATGACCGGATGCCCAGGCAAGAGATATTCTAGGTATTAATATCGCCGGCATGTCAGATAATACGGTTGTTTTATTCTGGTTCACGGCCATATGTTTGTATTGACCTTGCGCCTGGAAGACACTTTAATCATTTTCCAGACGTAAAGATAAGGTGACGCCGAGTTACCCGAAGTACACGCCCACCACCAAGCGGCAGGTAATCTTTGACCCATCTGTGTAACGAGAGCTAGCCTATTTGGTGGCCTCTTAGGCTGGGAATGGCACTTTAATACCAGCTAGATCAATAAGTCTTTAATTGTTAACACCGGGCTGATATGACAATAGGCTTATGAAACGGAAGCGGACTGAAGAGAGAGGGGTGTTAGGTTAGGTTATTGTAGTTGTCCCAGATAAGGGATGCACTTGGACATTGAGGAGATTGTTCTTTGTGTACACGGATACAATTACATAGCCGACGAAACGCCACGAGCCGATTGCGAAATTACCAATGCGGCTAATTTCAATGCCCCGGAGCTCAGCAAGGTAAGTCAGGAAGTGCCAGCCAAAATGTTTCAACCTTAGCCACGCGTAGGCTAGACAGTCTAATACATAAATATAATGCGTTGAGGTAATACCACCTTATCATTCTCCTGGCAGTTGCTACAGGAGGCTTTTCCAGCGTAAGGAGCTCCTTTAACCACCGCAATCCTCTCTAGGCCTAGTTTTCACCCAGAGATCGCTGCAGGTAGACAGATGTGTCCAAGGCTGCTCGCTATCCGATGATAACGTTTCAAGGATACCTTTTCTTTCCACGTTGTCAACCATGCAGTTTCGCACGTCGCTGTGGCACGGAACCCAAATGATCCTGATAAGAAAATACTCCGCCGCTGTTGAGATGGAGGTCCGACGTACTTTGACCAATTTCAATGGCTTTCAACTAGTTGAATGTGATAAGGGGATCCCAAAGTCATCTCACAGTCTCTTCCTCGGCCTTGAGACTTTGCGCGTCTGAAGACGGAGATAATGTATACAGCCTCCTCTCATTGTAGGCACACGCTACATCGTTAAACAATAAACTCCGCAGCGGGAAGAACCTCAAAATACCCACTGGCAAGCCCCTACATGCCTAAATCATCTGGAAGAGGAAATCGCTTAGCTTCGGTGAATCGAGACATATATGTATATACCGATACAATTGGACGCCGCATGAGGGGATAAATTAGCCAGCCAATTCAGTCAGCTTGCCCAGCAGAGCAAGCTAGATCTTGATCTTACAGACGCCTGTCCATCATGACCTACATAACGCCGCCCATCTGTCAGGGCTATCACTGAATCCATCCTAGTCCAATTTTTCGTGAAAGCTACGACAATACTATCACTGAATTCGAATAGCTACGAACGTAGCATATATGTATGTACGTATGTACTTTGAATGCATGCGTTTATAGGAATTCGTATTCAGTGATCGCATTTTCGTAGATCTTACGAATATATACATACATATGTATACGTACATATGTCCACCTCAGACCAGAAGCACTCGAGATACAGAGAGGAAGAGTTGCATGGAAAAGATGACTATTAACACAAATCAGTTTGAGAGAACACTCTTAAAACAACAACAGCAACGACTTTTCCAAAGCAAGGTGGACTGTCCGACCAACACCAGATCAGCCCGGGAAACTGCGGTCAAGGAAGCATGAAATCAAATTGCATTTTTTCGTTATACAGTGTGGGAGACTCAAACACAGCGTTCCATTGTTAATGAATGATATCATTTATTGTTAATTTTTCTTATGATAAATTTATAATATATGAATTACAACAAAAGCAATAAAATATTGCTTTTGTGCAAATAAAACTGACTGACTACAATGATATACTACGCTTCGTTCGTTCTAATAAGTCATTATTTTTTCTGTCACAATATCATCCTCCATGCTGCCAAAATTAAAAAAAAAAAAAATTAAAAATATTTTTTATAGATAGCATACATATTATAATAAATTTGTTGTCTACTTAAATGAGCTGCCAATGCAGCTGGAGGCACTTACTTTTGCACTTATATTAAACACTACCTACATACATACATGCATAGAATACATCAGACATAGCAGGCTCAAAACCTTAAAGTGTAACAAGAAAAAAAACATGATACATGCGATTTACATATGTTGTTCAGTAAGCTTCTCAAAAGCTCATAAACAATTTAAAAATAATGCCTAATTGAAGTTTTTCAATGATATGGAGTGTAGAGTAACAAGATATGTATGTGTGCAATTTATAAGTTGAAACTTTGATGCATAACGATATGGAAGTTGCATGAAATACCTAACACTTGTCTTCAAATCTTCAAAAAATACAATATGTATAACAATACAGATCAGTTCAATACAACCGATTATTAAATTTTCAACCTTTAATGGCAGTTTTCAAATGCCTCAATGCAAAACTCGACTGTTGCATTGAAAACAGACCATTTTTAACCAAACTTTGTGTGGACGTTATGTATTTTAGTTTAACGAGTGGCATCGTCACTTGTTTTAATTAGATGGAAGCACCATATATGTAATATGTATGTAAGTATGTATGTATGTAATAAAATAGGTTGTATACAATGCTACTTAGTTGCTAGTTTATCGCATATTATTAGTTGTTCGTTCACTGCATTGTGTCTCAATTATGTTTTTCTTTTTCTCTTTTTTTGCTTACATTTGTTTTGTAAAAATATAAATATCGTTTCTTAACTTTAACATGTTTAGTTGTAAATTGCGACACGCTTTATTTTTTTCGGTTTTCTTTGCTCTTAATTTAAAACTATTGCAATTTAGAATTGCGTAAATTTCGTAATAATGGCCACAAGAGTGGGGGAAGTGATTTGAAGTCAGCGAATTGCAATTGGCGCTCAAATCAAACGCGTACGCTTAAGATATGTTATAAGTAAACTATAGATGAATTTATACTGCGCTAAGGACGGTATGATGCTATCACGTTGATGACGTAATTGACCAATAACGCGTGGTATATCCAAATCCTGCGACGAGAGAGAGGGAGGAAAAGGAAATGTATATTGAATTTAATGCTAAAATTTGAATAAATACAGCAACGCACGCCTCACCTCATTATGATCCAGCGTATAGAGTAGCAAATCAGCGGTCAACGTGACGCCCGAACGTCCACCACCTTCCAAACAATGTATAAGCACTGGCGGATTGGTATTATGGCCAGGCGGTACTTCGTTAATCGATGCCATACGCACTGAATTCAATTCCTCGAGAAAGTCTAAAAAGTGATTGACCTCACGCGGACAATTCTGTTCGCCCCAATTGGTGTAGTTCAAATGCCAAACGGAACGATAACGACGCGATTGTATGTGAAATAGACGTAGTTTGCTGGTGATGCAACGATCTGTGGTTTGTGAGAATTCCTGATACACTTGGAACTAAAAAATTGTACGTGTAGGGAAACACAGAAATGTTTAGCTTAAGTAAATAGAGAAAATACAGTAAATAATAGCCTCACGTACTTGTCCAAACTCGAGCCGCTGATTGCTATTTGGTGGCATATAGTTTAAGCCTTCCGACAGCTGCACAATCAAGTAGACGTCTGCTTCCCAAACACATTGCCAGAAGATGCGTGTGGTCAACTCTTCCTGTGGTGATTGGGCGATTATGTAGAAGCGTTGTTTTGTGCCAACTGTGGCCTGGAAAAGGAACCAATTATTATTTTATAGAGGCGCAACTTTTTTTAAGGTCAAGTAGTGCAGTAACCAAACCAAGTATACAAGGAACATGTTTCTAAAGAACCCTCTAAGAACCACCACAACGATTACACCACAACTCCACCTCAGTCAAGTGTAATGCCTGCGAGGGGTGGAGTCACCTCAGGGTCTGCTCGGGACTACGGACACACAGGCAGTGGACCACGTCTTACGTGGCCCCCTGTTGCTCTAACAGAGCAGCCTCCACGGCAAACGATAGTCCGCCCGTGCAGCCCCACACACTCACACAGCAACCACACACAGTCGCCACTACACAACAACATAACAACACCACAGACCGTACCACAGCCACCACAGACCACATAACTCACACAACCGCACCACCACCCACACGCCGCCGCCAACAACTCCTGGTTCCCCCTACAATCTGCACGGTATGTCAGACCAGAATATTCCGTAATGTGACATCAGTCAAGTGCAACACCTGCCTTGGCTGGTGCCACTTTAGGGCATGTTCAGGTCTGCGCACCACGCGAGATTGGACGGGGAATTTCGAGGGCCCGTGCTGTGCTGCTCGGTCGCAGACGTCAATTGCGACGCCCCCGACCACCACCACAGGGCGGCAACCACCTCAGCAGCACACACAGCCAACGGCGGCAAGAACATACACCTCACTCACACCCCACATCACGACACGTCTCCCGAACCACATGAAGCTCCTCCAATTTAACTGTAACGGGCTACAGAGCAAGATTGAGGAGATAACCGTCTTCATGTGTCGGCACGGTATATTAATAGCTGCGGTCCAAGAGACGAAGTTGCACAGCAATTCAACTCTGTTGAATTGCGCCGGGTACAACGTGCACCGTCGAGATCGCGAGCGAGATAATGGTGGTGGCTTAGCGTTCATCACGCACCACACCGTG